AAAAAATGAAATGACAAAATTCATTCGGTATTTTCGGCAGAGAATCACTACACAGTGAAATAAGAAGATAACTAAATGTACATTAACTTAAAAAAATCACAAAGCAGACATTAGAGACCATTAATAAACCTATTGAAAGGCAATTAAAAATAAAAACCAACTGACCGTCTAGAAATAATATACAGGTAAACTGGAACTCCCGTACATCCCCTCTCCACTCAATCCCTCTCACACATCCCAAATCCACGGCAAACTAATGCAGTCAATAATTTTACTCACACCTCAAACTCCCAACATCAGATCCAGCCTAAGAATCTAAACCATACACTAAAAACCCGAACTCATTCAAATATTCTAAAGTCCTATTCCACTCTTAACTCAATTTCATCCTGCATTCTAAATTTCAGCCAGCGTCATTTCTCCGTCATCCCTCCCCCCAGGCACCTCTTGGCCCGGTGCGGCGTCAAACTTACTTTGTACAGAGAAGGGCTTTTCAGTCAGCTCAAGCTCACCCTCTCCAGTTCTAGGTATTCTTTTCCCTTCTCTATATATAAACATAAATAACATTTTAAAAAGCTATATCTTTAATTGCCTTCTTCGCCAATATTGTGTACAACTCATATTTCAGAAATACTTACTAACCACCCACGGAAATACGCCACAATCATCCCTGATCCCCAAACTGAAAACCAAATGCAATAGCTCCTAATAATTATTGACTAATAAGCTTACTGGGAAAATAATTCTGAAACGTTTAAACTAATTTTACAAGCCACTAAAGCCATCCTCTACGAACAATTGGCTTAACCCAAAATATTATTTTCAACATCAGCTATTACGAATCATTGAATATATATTACTTTCATTCCCGAAGAAATTCATACAATAGGTATCCTTATCGGCATAACGTATGTCTTCCACATAACATGGTATGATGGACTACTATACCAAACTACGTAAAGGAGCTGGAACCTTTCATTACACAGCCTCAGGCATTAACAGTTTTTTTATACAAAAAAGCCTTTTCACTTAATGTCAATAACCAGCACTCCAGGCAATAACATGCAGGCCTTCTCCTAGGAACATCATTATTCTCCGTGCTTTTCAATATCTCGTGACAGACGTACCTACAATATACTCAATAATATCGTCCAATTGGCGACTAAATTTACCAGATCTTGATATAAACAAAATACCACAAAAAATATATACCTCAATCTAATCGACACTATACCTCAATCTAATAGACACCTCAGCTGCTAAACTAAAACAACAATCTCTCAAAAAACCCTTAAAGAAATATTAACCCTCAGGCCTTAGTTTTCCTACACCAGTAACACCAGTAATATTAAACACAAACCCACAGAACAGCACAAATTTGAACTTAACTTAGTCACTTAATTAACAGTCTTTTAAAGGCTAAATAAAAAAAATATAACACAGCTTTAATAATTTGCAAAACCTTCTTAAGACCCCTCTTCTTTATGTGTCTTCCATCTGGATTAATGCAGCACAAACTAATAGGAATTAATTTCTAATTTTTCAAAACACGTACCTAAAAGACGAAAACACTTGGGTTTTGTTACCAACACAACCGAACACAAAGATTGCCATGCGAACTATAACGGAACATATCTATTACCTTTCCTCCATTTTTTAACTTTTCAATAACATAGTATCCCCACAGTAAAATATATTTTAAGCCATGATATCCTATGCGAACCAGTGTCAAATGCAAAACAAATTGCTCATTCAAGTACATTTATAAAAACATTTCAATAAAATTATTTCAAATTAATAAAGATGCGTCATATCGGCTTGGCTCACCGTTTGTAATAGATTGAAAACAGTGGTATGTAAAGTTCAGAATTTTGCAACTAAAAAACATTGTATAGTGATACCTTTTACTGAATACAGCATAGAATAAATATTTTTGATGCTACTTGGGATTAAACTTTCAAGTGATATACTTTTTGGGAAAGTATTACGTTGTACATATAAGAAATGTTTTACCATTTCTTAATTTTAAAAATAATTACATTACGAAAATCAACGCAAAAAAAAGTTGAAACAACAGGTGAGCAATCCAAATATATTTACTCATAATAATTTTCTATTTTTTTAAAAATGTATTTACGGCTAGTTCCCAAATGCGTGAGCAGGTAAATGCTCAGTCTTATTTGTTGTTCGTTTTCACAAAGGATAATCTCGGTTATGCAGAATCACTGCGATCGTCCTTCGAATTTGAAATTTTGATGCCCTTCTACTTAAATGACGTCGGGGTTTCAAGCAGCCAGGTTCCCGCAATTTCTTCTACGGCAGTAAAACCTGGTATACACCTTCTTAAAGCGCGTAATTCTAGATACCTTACTTCATGTTGAAAGCGTTATTTAATTCATTTGAGTGGGTCGGTTCGGCCAGATAATTTAGTGTTAGATCTTTTTGGACGTTCGTACAGATCGTGAATTTCACCTAGTCCTGAAAGGTTCCAACCATACGGCCCGGTATTATGAAGATAGGGTGGAAAAAAGGAAGTGTTAGTTCCATCTACAATGAGCTTATCAAAGGGATTAGCATTACATAATGTATGCAAAAGAACGCCTTTCCAAAATGAATTAGCAACAATAAAAATAAATTTTAAAAAGAACAGGATTTCACGCTGCTCGCGACCGGAAAGCAAGGTGAACAACCCACCAGCCCCCAAAACAACAGAACTAAGAGACGTCCAAAAGTTGAATCCCTCTAGTAAGTCAGCCAACCAATCGCCTCCCTGAGCGCCTCCACGAAAGCTGAAGCGGCGAACCGGGAAGCAGTGGGGTAAAGGGACGGGGTGACCGGCGGCGGCGAGGACGTGAACTGAAAAGTGCAAGCGGGCACGGGCGGTCGCACACAGTGCACGGGGACCCACGGACGAGACGGCAGGCGCAGGCAGAACCTCCGCAGGGTAACGTCAGGGTGTTGTTTCGCGAACTCCTTCCCTCACGCAACAGAAGCGTCATTATCGCACATCTCTCCAAACACAGCGCGCCAGCTGAGGAGATCCGCCACTTTTACCTTTCCGCAACGGCCGCCGCCGCCAACGCTGTAGAGGCCGTGCCAAACGTGTGAGGAGTCGGCGAGCAATCGGCACGCGTGCGCACAGACCACGCACAGTGGCAAAGAGCAACGCAACAGTGTCTACCAGTGATTCAGGTAAGTCCGCGCGGGACTGGCACGTTCTGGCGCGAGGAACTCTCGCTGTATTAGTGGGCTTCGAGCGATGTGTTGCAGGGACAGCGATTACATGTTTCGTTTATTTATTGTTTTCCCTCTCCGGAATTGAATTGAACTGTGAATAGGAATGATTTTTTTGTAAGAGACACATTTTAGTTCAGTGCTGTCAATAAAATCAAATAGCAATTTCATTAAATTATTTATAATTACTTTTTCTTTAAAACCTCTTTTCATTATACGCGAAGACTTCGGTCTATGCCAGTATGAAACACTGTATGCTGGTTAGCAATGTAATTCAAGCCAAATATCAAGTATAAGTTTTGAAATTATTGTCTGGAGATTCGTTAATTGAATTTATAAAGCTCAGAAAATAATTTTATTACATATTTTCTTTGGTGATTTTAAATTGACGACCAATATTTTGTTAAACCTTATGATCCAAATTAAAATAAAACTTCAGAAAACTACGATAAATCTGATGAATGAAAGGAAACAATGCATGCGCTGGCATTACGCCCTAAAGAAGGTCGCAGAATGGCGACCGAAACGTCGGCACCTTTTCCATGGACGCGGCCCGGACACCCTAGTAAATATTTCTTAATCGTGGCTTCCTACTGCCTACGTTATAACAAATAACTATTTCCCTCATCAATAGCTCACACTCTTCTAAACTTCTTTAATGATACTATTGTTTCACGTCTGCTTTCGTGGCACGCCGCGCTAAACCATCTATAGGTCAGCACACTTCCTCCTCTCCCCTACCTCTGCATTATACAGCGCGGTAACCGCCTTTCTTAACGTATTATTTGTCTTCCTGATGACAGCCTGTCTCGCGTCCATCCGGCCGAGATAAGAACATACTCATCCAGTTGCTTTTCCACCTTCCACGCAAACTATTGTCTTGCAACTGTTAAGGCCGTAGCACCCGCCAGCTCCACTGCCAATTACCTATCAATAGCAGTTATTTCTAATTAAAAAACTCACGGGTAAATGGCGGTATTCGGCCAGCAATTTGTTCACAAAATCCATTAAATTGTTTATTCTCTCAAGATGTAGTAGAGCACAACACATCACACTACCTCCATTCCAAAAATATACAACATATAGAACCAGTGATGCTACAGAAGGTACGTTTCATCATACTAGTTAGTTTCGCAATATCTTGCTGTTTTGCCTCAACTTCGACCCAGCTTCCATCTATAGCCCTCCAACTTGCATTTTTTTCTCAACATTTCGGCCATACTAATGTTATATTGATGGCAAAACTTCATAAATATTGTAGAAATGTTCAATTTCATACTAAATAACATACTACAGACTGCAACTACCTACTACTAATATATGTGGTAGTTTTTAGATATAATTTTGTTTAAGCGTTTCTGTCAATGTGAAATTTTAAATCAAAAACAAGCCATTTTTTATTCTTTTTTTTTTCAATTCTTCAAATAATACAAATGATTCATATTCTTCAATTAAATTTTAAAACCTCTCACAACTTTAATATTTACAGTAAGGGCATTTCTAAACCATCATCGAATTTGTGAGTACAATTGCATAAAATAATTTCTATAAGGTTTTTCAAAAACGAAAATTTGGGTTTAAAATAATATTCAAAATAAGCATTCTTAAAAACTCCCCAAAACTGTTGTCATAACAACGGCTACAAATTATCCAAAAAAATTATATACGGACCTATATATTCTCTGATACAAAAATTTATCTTTCAGTTCTAATAGAGAGTCGAAATATTAAGCAAACCTGAAAAAATTACGTTTAGAAGTTCACACATGACAGCTGAGATGATTGTGGGAACAGAGAAGAAGGCCCAGACTGAAGAAAAGAAAACTAGGAAAGTACATAGTAAGAGAGAGTCTGTATCAGTACAGTAGGACCATCCGTTTTTATTGTGTTGCAGCTCTTGGGGAAGATGCGGTGGGCTGTACTCGGAGTTCTATCGCTGCTGTGCGCGACGGGCGCGGCGCAGGGCCTGTGGTGGGGGCTCGTGCCCAGCCCCACGCGCCTCAACATCGTCAACGCGCTCACCGACTTCGTGCCGGCCGTCTTCCACATGCAGCGCCGCCTGGTGCGCGAGCCCGTGGATAGCGGCCATCGCAAGGAGTTCGACTTCGTGGTGGTGGGCGCGGGCGCGGCGGGCAGCGCGCTGGCCACGCGCCTCGCCGAGGTGGGCGACTGGAGCGTGCTGCTGCTGGAGGCGGGCGGGGAGGAGGTGCCCGTCATGACCATCCCGTTCCTGTTGGGCCAGTTCCACCACACGGACGCCAACTGGCAGTTCCTCACCACGCGGCAGAACACGTCCTGCGCGGAGCTCGAGGACTCGCGCTGCGACTACCCGCAGGTGGGGCGATTGATTAACTGCGTCAACTGCTAAGGTCATTAGTCTCGTAAGAGTAGTGCACGTGTTTTCCTACTAGCCGTTCGTCACCACGTGGCGGAACACGTCCTGCGCGGAGCTCGAGAACTCGTACTGCGACTACCCGCAGGTTGGGCGATTGCTTAACTGCGTCAAATGCAAAGGTCATTAGTTTCATAAGTGTAGTACACGAATTTTCCTCGGGAGGAAGCCGTCGTCATCCCCACTGTATATTGAAATACAAAGTCCACCACGCGTGGGTTGATTGACCATTATTTTTACCCTTTGCACTTTAGCATAATTCAGTTACACCTTCCTACGGTCAGACAACAGTAGAACACCTACTCATATATCGGGCATTTTCCGTCTTTACCAACTTTTAGCTAAGTTTTTTGCTGCGTGACAAAATATATTTCGGATATATGCGTGATGATTGCGATCGATACGACATGTTGCGATACATCAGATAGATGGAGGGAGAGCCACGCATCTATCTCATATTTACACAATATTTACAAGCTTGATTACAAATACATATGTGTATTACTAATACCTAATGTGCGCGGGTATTGTTTTTAAATTAATTTCTTCTTGTTTAACCTAATTTTTTTCGATAGGTTTCAACTTTACATGCTGTTTTTTTTTGGAGATTTAGGCATTCTTTGACAAATTGAAGTAAAATACACTGGCTGATTTAATTGATTTGTTTTTTTCGAGAAGCTACTGAAATTTAATCTTAATTTTTTTGGTGGAGGGGGTATAATCTGTTAAGTTTGCGCTGCCAAGCAATAGGAAGGAAAACGTGAAAGATTCTACAGAGATACGGGATGGTATTATAAGTTTAGGGAGGTTTAAGCATGTCTTCGGAAAATTAGATTTGATTCGACTTGGGTTGTTTGCTGTTCGGCCTAGGTGAAATATCAGAGCGGGATGAGATGAGAGAAATGACGAATATAAATTATTTGCCACTCTTTTTATATGTTCTTTCATGTTTTCTATTTGAAGCTCTCTGTGAATTTGAAGGTTAGATATAAACCATGGAGTTTTAATCGACTTCCTCAGAACTTTATTTTGCACAATTTTCATTATTTGTAAGGTGATAGAAGCAATATTTTCACACACTGGGCAAGCATAAGTTAGTGTGGGTAGGATAACAGATTTATATAATAGAATCTGGCTTTAGGTATTTAATGATGAATGTTGATTTATTGAATTTATTGAAGTATAATTTTGATAATTTGACATTGTATTTGTTGATAGCTGTGTAAATATGGCGTTCCCAAGAACGTTTCTTGGCTAACAATACTCCAAGACACTCTATTGGTTCACTTTTCCAACGTATTTCACTGTCGCCTACGTATTGTCAGATATGGAGAGTTTTGAGGTCTCCTAAGGATAAATATTTTAGTCTGGCCTTGTAAGGATTGATTGCCATTCTCCAGTTTTTGTTCATTGCATTAGGATATTAAGGTTATTCTGGACTCTTTTATATGCCAGGTTAATATCTGAACTTGCTGAAAAGAGTGCCGTATCGTCAGCAAGAAGAGCAGTTTCCACATTGGAATTATTTGGTATGTCAATCACAAAGATATTAAATAAAATAAGTGAGAGAATTGTGTCTTGCTTAACAACTTTCTAAGTTAATGCAATATCATGCATCTTGTATATGGAGACTGCTAGAAATGTGTCAAATGTTAAAAAGAGCGATCGAACGTAAAGTACCAAAACCCGGGCCTGTTTCCTAAAGCGATCTCCTTATTTTTTTCTCTGTAAAGTTCTGTTGTCTATTGGAAACGTACTAAACCTTTGAGTTCACACAAGCGGCAGCGCAGACATCAGTCCAGACAAGTGGTAGTGTCTTTATCTTCCCATGTTGCCGGACAGTCGACCATTAGTGTGAACAGTAAAAAGAGAAGTGTGTCAAGTGCTATTGTTAGATTCCTGATTTCGATACTTAATTGGTAAGTCTTCTAACCATTACATTATTTTAAAGGAGACATGAAGGTTAATATGGGTTAACTTGCATTGTAAAATGTTATTAGCTTTTGAAATGTACACACTGAGGTTTTCAACCCGGCTGTGATATTACGAAGAGTAGAAATTGAATGATTAATTTTGTCTTTACATTTTCTGTCAGAGATAAAGCCTTTAATAATATTATGAATATACTCAGGGACACCGAGTTGTCTTATTTTAAATAACAGACCGGTATGCCAAACCGGTATGTCGTACGCTTGTGCAATATCCAGAAATGCAACTAGAGTATGCTTTTTCTCTTGGAAGCTCTGTGCATGTACTCAGTAAGCCTTAGCAGCAGGTGTGTGCAGGAGTGCGCCGAAATGTAAAGAAAATTGCAGTGTGCGACCTTTTAAAAGGTGACTACGGTTTTGTCACAAACCCGGAAACTCGGGAAATACAAAAACATTTATATATCAAATTTCAAACGTGTTCAAAATTTTAAAAAACTATGCAGTCTCCGGCCATTTCATAGTTAATTATAATTTAGTTAAATACCTAGGATGTAGGGGAAAATTTCAAAAATAATGAAACAGTTTTGACTTTGACTGGACAATTCAAATATTTGATTGTTTTATTTCGTCTATTTTCGTATTGAGCGATCCAATTAAATTATCATACACCTTTGTTCACTTGTTACGAAACAGCTGTTCTAAGGGCCGGGAGAACTCCATAGAAGACGGTCCGCTATTTGCTATTGACGTGCTAGGTTTTGGAACAATAACTTTTATTGTTACTTTTGGTATGTAAAGTGCTGTTCAACTGTGTAAATATATTATTATACCATTTTTTGTAATATTCACGAAATCAGTTTATGTTATCATGTTTAATTTATCGATATTTACACGAGTATTTTATTTGTTATTTTTGAGCTGTGAGCTTGCTACTTTTTGGAAAACCATTTTCTGTGGTTTTGTGCAGCACCTTTTTGCTTCTGCAGGCCATTAGTTGGGTAAATATGCGTCACTCATATGCGAAGAACGCTGATTGGGCCTTACGATGGCCTTGAATAGGACATAACCATAAAATCCCTAGATGCCGGAGTTTGAACCCAGAGCCCTCAGACTACCAAAGGTTGGTCCTAAACACTTCGCTACGCCCAGATTAGATTTTCTCAATTATATTCATTTATGTTACAATTCGATAAAGACACCATTATGTGAAAGTTAGTTAATAGCTTAGAGGCGCTGAACGTGAGTGTAGAATTTCAAAAGTGCATATATTTCCTTTAAGCAGCCAGTACCATTTATTATCTCTATTATCTTTTCCGAAATCCTTTTTCAACATTTTAATATATATTTCCACTTATTATATTCAATATTATTATATTAATTTCAGTATTATCCTATGTAATAAAGAGACGTTATCTACTGCAGGAAGCTGTTATATACGGGATACAACAACAAAATCTGTGAAAAATATTCCAAAGTTCGTGTGAAAAACTATACTATTTGAGTAAATGACTTATTCGAAGAAAACACATTTATCTTACAAGGAAGGATGTATTGTATGTTTAAGAAAAATATTCCTCAAAGATATAATCTCATTTATGCAAGTTTCAGAACGCGTGTAGTGAATAACTTACATAACTCTGGAAACACTCAATTCTAATTAAGAAGAAATACTGGTGATATAACAGTCTAGACATTCTCGCGTTACTGGTGGTGATAACGTAATATCTTTCTGTAAAATAATCTTATGGCTAGAAAATACTATTTCGATTCTTGCAATAATATTATATTACAAAAATAAAACTTTAAAAAGCATTAACCGAACAAATCATGAGAAGGTTGGTTTTCCCCCTTGCTAATCACAATGCTATTATTAAATTTTATTAAAGCTGATTATGACTATATAAATAATAAATCACAATTATTTGAAGGGGCGCATGGTCGGTGGCAGCACTACGATTAACTACATGTTCAACATTCGAGGCAACAGACGAGACTTCGACAATTGGGAAGCGATGGGCAACAAGGGTTGGAGTTACAAAGATGTCGTTCCTTACTTCAAGAAGGTCGAAGACTTGCGGATACCGGAGCTTCAGAACAGAGAAAACAGAGGATACGGGGGACGAATTAGAACTACTTATCCACCATATTTTTCAGGTAAGAGTAGTGGAATTCACGAACTGAGTTACCTGGGAATGCTTCAATTACAAAAAATTAATAAGGTGGATCGCGCAGTTGTAAATGAATATGAAAGAATTGTCAATGATTGTGAAATTAGAGATAATACGTTCCATGATTATTTTACTATGCTGATCATAATTCTGCTATATTTTATTAATACAAATGATTTTAATTGCAACATTGAATATTAATATGTCAAATTATGTTTCTCATATGAGGCGTATACGACTTCATAGCAAAGCAAAACTAATTTTTTTTGTTATTTAAGGTCGCATCAACTACTAGGTCATTAGCGACCACTATTGCTTGTAACGGTATGGTAACTGTGGGTTGACACGATAATGATGATGATAGGGGGTGAAAGGACGAAACACAATACAACCATGCCCGAGGCGGGACTCGAACCCGCGATCTTTCGGTGCGAGTTCGCTACGGCACTACTGCCTTAACGATCCCGGCCACCGCATCAGCACAACTAAAAATTGTTTGAAACTATCTTGGAATTATTAGCTAGGGTAAGGTTTCTGCTTAAAATCTACTTTAATATAAATCTCTATTCTTCTGAAATACTTTTTAATCATTTGACACCAAATACGATCAGTGTTCTTCTGGCTCCTTAGAAAGACTTCAGGAGTATATAAATCAATATGAAGCCAAAACCGTCAATAAATTATTTACTGTTATTATGTGGATCATTTTTGGGAGGAATTTTCCCCTCAAATTATTCCTTCAGTTTTTAAAATAATACAGAATGGGTTATTAAACCTATCAATTTGTTTTGGAGGTGTCTAAAATGTTGAAGATCGAAAATAAATGAATTTGCAGACATGGGCAAGCTGTTCCT